AAATTTTAATAAACAATACATAATACATCTTATGATCAACACATATGCACAAATTTATCCATTAACAAACAAACATTCAACAAACAAGCAATGTCAACAATAAAAAAGAGTAATAAAAACATAAATACAAAACATGTATTGGAGCAAGTGTATACAGTATGCTAAACATAATCTATTCACCACAAAAAATCTGATAGTCAAGATCAAAATAGCCAGAATAACAAAAGAGAAATAAATTATTCTCAAATGCCAGAAGTATACTGTTTGTGGTGCATAGATTTAACTTTTATTCCACTTTGTTACGATACAACGTAATGTATTTGAGAACTTCGTAAAACTGTAGCTAATTTACATTATGTGTATTTGCTACAGGTCTACAAAGTTCTCAAGAAAGAAAAATAATGTCAGTCATTTTACAAAAACTTGCCGGGTGCAAGATCCATGGCCAGAGCTGTAAAGGCAGTTTCTTGTCATCTTCACCAAGTGTGGTGCATCAGAAAAGAAATATATGTACCGATGGGGTGCATATAAGTTAATGGTCCGGTAGCAGACATCACCACCGGCATCACCATCAAGTGGCTTGTGCATTCTGTACAACTTTCTGTTGGGTGATGCTCCATCTGAAGTGCTGGCAATGACCCAAAGGTTGCATGCCACCTCCAATACACATATAGCCTCCCAGAATAGTGGCATAAGCTGGAATGAAGTAACTCCATCTGTGGCAAAATATGCTAGGCTAAACTTCAGTTGAGTGCAGACACCTCTGATGAAGAACACCAAAGCATGGCTGGCAATCTTGTCGACTTTCTCAAGAGTTCCAAAGTTGACATCTGGATCACCTAAGTCAAGGTATCCAATTAGTTCTCCTGTCACTTTGTCAAACACCAGGTTTGATAAAATCTTCATTTCATCAAACAAGAGTACAATGTATCTTTGGACATCAAAGTAGCTATTTGTGGCCTCTTTCAACTCTTCTATAACTTTATTCTGGAAGCCAGCTTTCTGCCGAATACAGTTTCTATAGTCCTTTAAAGTTCGCTGGCTTGGAAGGACAAGGATGTTACTCTTACGTAATTCTTCATAACATGCTGGTGATTTTGTGGCCAGTGACAAGCAGTAGCGTATTAGCATTGGGTGGTATCTGACACCTGTTTTGCTACTAGTTAACAGCTTTTTCTGTTCCTGCCAGAACAGATTCATAAAAGGAGTTATGTTCTGGTCGGATTTGCCTAAAATACTTGTTATGTCCTGGCTCAACTGGTTGTCTAATTCAACACTTGAACTTTCAATTTCAAGCTTCATTTCTTGAAGTTGTTGTTCAAGTTCAGCACATTTGAGTCTTTGCATTTGCAGGATCAATTTGATTCGTTCTGGTGCTGTCTGTGACACTGGTGAGAACAAATGTGCTGGCTCTGCTAGTTTCTTTTGCTTGGTCTTGTGAATCAGTTCTGATTTATGTGAATACTTATAACAGGTACAACACTGTTCATCATGCTCAAACAAAACTTCACAATCACGAGTCCTCCAATATTCTTGATGGGGGAATGAATTATCATCATCTTCATTGTCACTGAACAAAAGATCAACAGACTTTGGAATGACATGGTGCACTTTATTGCTTGAGAGTTCAAATGGTTTAACTCCAGGGCAAATCAGTAGTGTGTCAATTCTCTTTACTAGGTCGGAAACGGTTACATTTCTGACAGGTCTCAAGTTGGAAGTGTATAATTCGTAGTCATTAGGCAGAAGCCATCCATATACTGATACAGAGAAACCCAGACTATCATCGATTATTATCTCAACTTGTGGAAGAATGAGCAAGCTTTTCTTTCTTAAAACAACCCTATCTTCTGTTTCTTYGATTGTCCAGCGATTTAGAGCTTTCAAAGTTTTTACTCGTTTCCGTAGATCAGTAAGTCCTTGGTAGTATTTCTTGTCAGTAGTGACAGAGTTGTCTTCTTCGACCACAGATCTAGAGGCACGAGCAAGAATGACTTTTGACGTGTCGTGGCTTCGCTTTGGCATGTTGAGAGTTGGTAACGCGCCAAACATAGGCTTCTTTTTCATCATCTTTTCTGATTGAACTGAAATAAAGCCAGACAGAACCTATTTTAAAACAGAGTAAGGAAATATAAAGCTCACAACAACGAAAGACTACAGGTGTCACGCTAAGTTTATAACGTAATGTTGACGAAACTCACACGAGTTCAACTTGGGTAACGATTCCAAGTTATAGATCGATTTTAGACAACAGTACTTACATATCTCAATATCCTCCGGTCTGAAATGTCTTTCACATGTAAACACTCTGTCATTTTCGATGCGATCTGTTGTTGGAAATCTTTGTCGATTATTCTTGTTTTGGTCAGCTCGTTGAGCCAGTTTTTTCGGCATTTCGTGGAGCTGGCAGTTTCCAAATGCCGATTCCTTTGGTTCTTCGGCACGAACCGCAACCAAAGACCGAGCAGTTAACGCCAGGCATTTGGAATTTATTTATGAGACACGATCCAAGTTGACAGAACTACATTCTAAGCATTTAAAGTACTTCACAAAACTACACCTCTCGTTAACGACGCCATCTTGGATATGAGTGTGCACTGTCATTGTCACGTGACTTCGAAAAACTCAAACAATRACCTATCTCTTTGAAGTTCGCCGGGTTTCATAACCAGTCCCCTCAATTAACTATGATCTAAGGGAAAGGAATGTGTGGCTAGTTTGAGCAGACGCTCGTGGGGAGGGAAAGGAACGAGCCGACACTAAAAACGTCTGCACAGCAGGCTAAGGTTGATGATGATCGAATTAAAACAATTGAGTCATATTTCCTTATCATTAAGATACCTACAAGTCAAATTCTTTATCAAGCGAGGTTATCTTTTCCACCCAAACTTTAAGTCTTTGCTAGTTTTTTGATTTCCTGTCATTATTTAAACAATATGAGATGATTTCTTATTTAATATTTAAAATTTAAAAAAATATATCAATTAAAATTTCCATACATGCTTTAATTTTATTTCAGGGTCATCCAGCAAGCCTATCGATATACAACATGTATGAGAGCGATTAAAAAAATGGGATATCGTATACCACCCAGTATCGTGGCTATTACATTGTTACTTATTGTATGGCAGTGGGAGAGTATCCTTGCTATTGGTGAGTACAGTCTTGGAAACTAAAGCAATACTTTTATCATAATTAGCTTAACCAGTGGTTACGTCTCAAACCACTTAAACATGACGCAAAGCCGTGTTCATGATTGCGCAATACGGTATTTTTTTGCCGTAGATTTTTCATATTTTATTTCGTATTTTATTTCGCATTTATTCGTATTTTAGTTTAGACAAACTAGCTGTTGAATCAATAAACAAACGTCAAAGCTATCAGAGCCAAGGGGGGCACTCCAAATATTTTTTATAACTCATAAAATACTATCAATATTATGTCCTATTCAATAGAAACGAGCAATTGCTYCTGCTATTCATTCCACAATACTACAAAGAATTGGAAAGATAGCAACGAGATTTGTCAAGAGAATGGCGGTACCTTGTTATCCATGGAAACAGAAGAGGAGTATCAGTTTATCAACAAGACGATACAAAGTCTAGATGTAGGAAATAACGAGTGGTTTATTGGTTTGAGGAAAACATCAGGAACTGACTACTGGCAGTGGATTAGTGGACATGACATGACCATTGATAAATGGGTGCGAGGCGAACCAAGTAGATCAGAAGGTTGTGT